GAATAGTCCGTCAGTTTCTGTCTAAAGATTAAACATTCAACTGAGTTCTTTGGCTAACAGCCCGCGAAAAAGATATAATACCTCGGAAATGAGAGAATACTAAACAGAAAGTATAATAATAATAATACTTCCTGACGAAATCGGGTGATTCACTCTGTAAGGACGTTATTTCTTGTGATAAAGAACATACCCCTCTATACTTAGCCAACAACCAGTGGCAAGATCCGGCAGTACAGAGCATTTCCGACAGGGAGACCGTATGGAAGGGGAAGGAGCTCTACAGGAGGTTCTACAATCCTCTCGCTGCTGGCTACGTTCTGGTGATCTCTTTGGGGAAACCGAGGGTTTTATCTGTGCGATATAGCATCAGGTTATTAAGATCAACAACTGTCGGAGATACATCCTAAAGGATGGCACCGTTGACATCTGTCGAGCTTGTCGCCATACCGGTGAGTCACTTAGGCATGTTATCTCTGGTTGTTCGGCGCTTTTTAACTTTGAATATCACAGCCTCTGTTTTTCAGGATGCATGAAATTTAATAATAGTAAAATTAACGTTAAAAATGAATATAATATTTAATTAGACTTGGTTTATCTGTTAACTTAATGCAGCGTAGCAGAGTAATATTTATATATAATACGACTCTCGTGCTAAAGTCAAGGTTTAAAAGGTTGAACTAAATTTTAATCGTGACTAATTGAAGCATTGGGAATAACAAGGGCGTTCGGTACCCAAAGCCCGTTTTGATGTTATTGCATTAAAATATGTAATGCGTCATCTAGAGTATTTGGTGACAAAAACTCATTTCGATCTATCGCTTCTAGGCGGCGTGGAAATCATTTATTTTAAAGGAGGCGCTCCGCGTAAAAAGATACCTAAAAAGGTTTTTAAAGATATCACCAAGTGTTGTTTCAAAAAGCGTTGTGATATCCTCGATTATCGATAATAAACTAAGCTTAGCGGTCAGCCATCGCAGTGTCTACGTCACCTAAAGATGCCTCGTATAGAAGCGAAACACTTGTCGTTTGGTCGGAAGTTGTGTGTCTTTCCTATTTTTTTTATAGGATAGGGTGACAAACGAGCACACAGTCCACCTGATGATAAGTGGTTGCCGTGGCCCATAGACATCTACATGTATCCTCGTTTGCGAATCAAAATGCAGATGCGTTGTCACCCGTGAGGACTAAGATGGAATGCCACTTTTCCAGTAAATAGGGTCTCCGGTTCTCTACACTCACCATACAAAACACGGCAGTGTTAAGCTATTTTACGCTGGTATTCTGTGAGAGCGTGGTCCTTCCCCGGTCGAGCCAACCCATTCGTGCTACAACTATAGTACTAATATAGCTGCAGCATAGCTCTACAACGTTATAAAGTGTGTGGTGGTAGTGTAGTGGTGTTGGGAGTAGTGGTGCTGGGATTAGTGGTGACGGAGATAGTGCACGCAATTGAGGGAGGGCGGGAGGTGCTCTTCAAACTAGGTAAGACACATCATTTTATTTTATCGAGCGAATGTACGCAAGGTAATTTTTACCAACTTTAATATAATGGATTTCCGTAAAGTAACACCTGATTCTATTAACTATGTTATTGTTATTTACTTTCAAATAAAACTAATTCATAGAAGAATCTAAAATAGTTGTTATTTATAGTCTTAAAAACCAGTAATAAACTAAACGCCCCATTATTTACGGGTTGGGTGCAATAAGGGCGGATATAACACATGTAAAAAAAATTGTTTTTTCAATATCTTCTAAGTATTTTAAAATGATAACAATATCTGAATCATTAAATGAAATCACAGCACTAATGAATAATCAAGTATATAGGAGCCATACTATAAACATTAAAAAGTTTTAAGACATTAAAACATTTATTTACAATTTTCTCATGTTCCTAGTGTTTACAGAGTATATGTGATGATCATGTTCCTAGTGTTTACAGAATATATGTGATATAATATACTGTATTGCTATGTACTGTGTTACTAAAACTACTTTTGTTTTTGTGGACATTCTTCCACATTCTACAAATTTTTGGAAATATAGTGATAGGCCAAAGTTAATACATTTATTTCTTCTCTGAGAGGTTTTTGGTGCAGGTTGCAAATAGCTATTATGGCCCTTTTCTGCAAAACAAAAATAATTCCTAAATCAGCCGCATTTTCCCACAGCAAAATCCCATAAGACATTATGCTATGGAAATAAGTGAAATAAATTAATCTAGCTGTTTCGACGCTAGTGAGACCTCTAATCTTTTTTACAGCATAAGTTACAGAGCTTAGTCTGCTTACTAGTTTAGATATATGGGGGCCCCACTGAAGCTTTGCGTCGAGTGATGCCAAGAAAAACAGTGAATTTAACAGAACTCTATATAAAAACACATTGGCATTCAGATTTTTAACATTCAGAGTTGAAAATTTAATACATTTAGTTTTATTTCCATTTAAATGTAGATTATGAACGTTAATTATTTAACGTTATAATTAATATATACTAATATGCTCACATACAATGTCTACTATACATAATGTAGGAAGGTTACGAGTGGCGTTGTGCCGTTCAGTGGTGTTGGCGGGCGCAGCAGGCGGCTCGGGCGCGTTTCTTTTTTGTCCCCCGCGGATTCCATTGCCCCATGTCCAACCTGTAAGTCCGGGCAGTCCGGCAGTTTGCCGTGCATTGACCGCGCGCCTTGCTACAAACCTCGAAGCCGTTGAACAACTACGATGAACGCTTTCGATGGCTAACGTAAACCATTGATGACGCTTATGCTTTGCCCTAACTCGATGCTACTTCTTAAATAACAAAAAAAAACAACTCTGCTTTAGAATTGATCCTCATCTTTCTTTTATACAATATAATATATTTTCTGAAAAATATATTCTAACTTAGTACTGTAAGTACAGACTGCGATGAGTATTGTACAAAGATGCCTACTGAATTATAGTACTTACTAAAATATTGAGTTACGCTATATTTCACATTCAATATTTCAGTATATACATTAAGCCGGGCTTAATATCAAGAAGAAGAAGAAGATCCGTAGAATATCAAGAACACACTGTTTTTTGCCAACTCGGACATTTATTCCCCGTTATCAATAGTATATTTTAGTATAGCGGATAGCGATTTAAGAATAGCGCGAGCAACTAACGTAAAAATAAACTGACGCAATTGTTATGCTTCAGTGGTAATATGTAAATACCAGCCATATTTATTCAGTACCCAGTTAAAAGGAAAAAAAAATCGTGGTAGTTTAGGGGATAAATGCCCTGAATTTCATAATAACCTTTGCGAGCAATTTTAGTTCGATCCCCGATAGCACCAACATAATAGTTACTTATAAAATATAAAATATCTAGGTTTGTTACAATAATTTAATACCAAAATCAAAATCTATGCTTATTACGAAACGTAGACTATCCGAGGACCCGTTAGAACCAAAGTTAGTGCTGGTTTTAAATAACACCCAAAAATTACACTTTCATTCGTTCATACAGGTTTCATTCGAAGCAATTCTGTTTCTATCAATATTAATGTTATTATCACGCTTGATATACTTAAATTATTATTTATCAATATAAATATATGTCATACATTATTATTTGTTAAGGTTAAAATCTATTGCACAAGCGCAACTTATAATTAACACTAGCAAAGCGGCAAGGGTCTTATGACCCGTATTTGAACTTGCAGCGCTGATTATTTTGTCACTGTTTGTTTATGCAGTTTTGTACTTCGTAACTTTTAATGAATTACGATTGTTTTTTAAGCAAAAGTATTTACATTGTAATATGTTTATACAAATATGAATAAAAATAACATTCACATACAATGACGGCTGCATTGCTGTTATGAGTAGGATAATTATATTTACTTTAATTTTATTGCCTGATCTTGTTTTACATACTTAAATATTTTAGTTTATACGTTCATTACTCTACGCGTTCTCATTGAGTCAATTTCATTATTTTGGTTGATATTTCGTGAAAATGTCTCAGCGTATCAGTGCAGAAATATAGAAATTATTGCAATCGTTGCCAGAAGACCAGTCGGATAGTGAAGGTGTCTCATTACCACCAGAAATTGGAGATAGCGATTCGTATATTACTGCATCTCCTGAGTCAAGTTCTAGTGATGATTCAGACAGTAACATACCGTTGACTACCATTCAACAACAAACTAGGGGAAGATCGTCTCGGCGACGAAGAGTACGTGGTGTTCGAACATCATTTTATGGAAATACCTCTCAAAATAATATGATGTCATTAAGTGGAATATTTTAGAAATTCATATTTGAAAATATCTCAGAGGTGGCAGGTCACCGAGGACGTCATAATGTTGTGACTGAACAGCCAGGACTTACCAGCTATGCACGGAGGCAAGTTGGAGAGAAATTCATGACAGCCTGGAAACTTTTAATAGATGATACAATTTTACAACACATAAAAAATTTTACTGTGGCCTAAGCAAATCATCGGCTTAGTCATTCATGGTATAATTCCCTAGAAGAACTTAAAAAATTCATTTCCATTCTGTATGTTAGAGGTTGTTTTGTAGCGAGAAATATATATGTAAATGATTTGTGGAGTAATATATGGGGCATTCTATATTTTTTCTAAAACTATGCCTATATTTACGATTCGATGTGTGATCAGAACGACTTACAAGAATTATAACAGATAAATTTGCGTTGATTTCTCATGTATGGAATCGCTTTATTGACAACTGGAAAACGTGCTACAAACCGGGAGAAAATGTAACAATAGATGAACAGTTGTTTGCTACAAAAGTTCGATGCTCTTTAATCCAGTATATGGCTAATAAACCTGATAAATTGAGAATAAAACTTTGGCTCTGTGTTGATGTCTAATCTTAAAAAATACTTGTTGAGTGCTTACCCATATCTTGGGAAAGATGAAACTCGAACGCAAAGTCTTGGACAACACGTCATCCTGCATCTTATGGAACCATTTTTGAATAATGGTAGAAATGTGACTATGGATAACTTTTTCACATCTGTGTCTCTCGCACAGAACTTGCTTTCAAAACGTACAACTTTGGTTGGTACTACAAATAAAGAGAGACGTGACAATCCATCGTACGTAAAAAATCTAACATTGGATTTATGTCACACCAAAACATTTAAAACAGAAAATGACCAATGCTTATTAACTGTTTACCAAACAAAGAGACACAAAAATGTTTTGTTATTACATTACATGAAAGTGTTCATATATAGAGTGGCGATGTCAAGAAAAAACCTGTAACTGGTATGTTTTACAATTCAACTAAATACGGTGTTGACGTGGTCGATCAAATGGCGAGAAGGTACAGCACAAAAGCACCTTCTAAAAGATGGCCGGTACATATATTTTATAATATTTTAGATTTATCTGCTATAAATGCCTGGGTGTTGTACCAAGAAAGAAAAAACAAGAAATACGATGAAGAGAATTTATTCTGCAATTGGCTGTTGAACTGAGTAACATTTTATAAGAACCAACTCGTGAAACCTCACTGCAACGTTCTATCGCCTCAGCAATGCCAGCACCTGAGTTGAGGAAAAGGCGTAATTGCGTGTGTGACTTGTGCAAAAAACCACTATGTGGCAGATGTAATCTATCAAAAATATTCATAATATGTCAGAACTGTAAATAACTTTTTGTTAAACGCATATTTACACTGAAACCAAAAATATTTCATTTGCCTTTGTAACAATGAATATTGTCTACTATTTCTACAATGACACTACACATATATGGGTACATAATTAGATACTAGCTAACAGTGATATGGTCAAATGATTCTTGACCGCCTTTGTAGGATAGCTGTTTTTTCCGTCTTGCTAAAAGCTTGTATTGTATTGCAGTTAGTGAGGTTTTGTTCTAGAGATTGTGTGTACGTAAATAGTAATCTAACTATATAAAAATGAAACAAAGAAACATGGTATAAGTTGGAATTCTAAAGAAAAATTAGTAGAACATCGAAATTTATTTTATTAGTTGTATCATACAAAGCGTTACTACTAATAGACCTTGTTTGGATTAAAGCGAAATTTCTTGTTAATACAGGAAATATTTCGTACACTTATTCGTCAATAAGCACATATTACAAAGGATAAATCGACGAAAACTTCAGTAAGTAGGTACGATATCTTCTAAATTCATCAAGACCATCATGTTAATATCCATTTTTAACGATTTTAAAAACACGAAACGAAAACAACACTAACCTCAATTAAAGTAGTACCGAAATTGATGTTAGTCCCATAGTTAAACTAGGGGTATCGGAAATCTGTTTTATGAAACATTAATATTGTTAAAAAATAAAAATTTGTTATTTGTAAAAGCACCTCGATTCTTATTAGCGCTTAGAGCTTATTCACACGATTAATCGTGCTCGAAAAAAATTTCTCAATGTCTTTTTATGGAATACAGCCAAAAACAAGAAGAGTCACGAAAAGTTCACTATTTTTTTTTCAGCAAATTTCGTTAAGCTTTTCGTTGAAGCATGTGTACGATCGGATTTAAATCCGTAGATTGTATGTGCTATCCTGGGTTGCTACATTACGTTTATTATCATGCATACGCATAAGAAATAGGCGCAGAGTAAACAGTAGTCAGTAGTAATAGAGCAGAGTAAACGATAGTCTAAAGCTTCATCACCAATTATCCCCAGGTGGGGTAGTAGTCAACCACTGACTAGTAATAAGTAATAAAGAATGTTGTTAAATTACAATTTTCCAGTATATACTTCATCGCAGTATTTTGCATCAGTTAAATCGCAATGTTCCTAAACGAGGTTATCTCTCTCGCAAAGAGGTATATTCCCGCTGTTAAAATTATTGTTCCACCTTGACATGAATGAATTTCCTAAGACTTTTCGACGGCACTCACGTCCAGGTTTCAGCTATAGGGTTCACAAAAGCTGAGTGGAAGCTGAACCAAGAAAAATGTTCGTTTGCCCATTGTAATCTATATCCGCGGTTGCTTTGTTGTAGTGCTGGAAACCGAACTGGTCGCTTAGTATGTAGGTTAACACCGTGCAGTTTCCTTCTTACAGTTTGATCGCTTATCGCATTCTGACTGCAACTTCAAAACGAATTGCCGAGCCGTAACGTTAGATTGTCCTCTCGTCATAATTTGTAAAGATCGGTCTTGTCTTGAGATGGTAATTCGACTCTTCCCAGTGTGCCTTCAGCTACTTTGCTAATGTCCAGGTGATGAGACCACAATATTGAAATGAAACTAGTGCCAGGTGCCTCAGCAACATTACATTGGATCGCACTCGTTTCCATGCTTGCATGCTTATTTGCTCTGGACTTTCTTCTCTGGTTAAATGTTGGCGTTAAAGAATCCGCCGATATTATATAATTTTACATAGTTGTAAATAAATATTATTTTAAAATTTGAATTAAGATTACAGAAAAAAGATGTGCCAGGATTAGATTGATATTTTAATCTCTATATAATTACTAGCTGTCCAGGCAGACGTTGTTCTGTCCTTTCCGTCGTCCATTTGCTTTCCTAAACAAATTCCTAAGATTAGCAATAAAAAAATTGAGGGTCACTTATCGGGATAAAAACTATCCTATCTCTCAAGTTGGACCAAACTGCACTCAGTGTGCAAAATTTCATTGAAATCAGTTCAGTAGGTTAGGAGTTCATCGCGGACAAACAATGTGACACGTAATTTTTATATATAAAGAGATTTGAAATATTACTAAACGGTGTTTTAAATTTGTGTGGTTTGTAACCCAAGCAAAAGCGAAAAAGGCTATGAATAAATAATTATAAATACTTAAATAAATAAAATTATGAATGATTTATATTTAGTTTCGTAATATAATTTATATCTTAATTATAAGTTTTGAAAGATTAAGTTTCTGAAAATCATGTTTGGTATTTACATATTGTGATGGTATAATACTAAATCAGTCAAGAAACAAGTTAGTGGATTAATTAATGGAACTCGTGGCGTCTTGTCAATGGCGATTTGCGTTTATGCTTGATAGTCAATAGAGCTATTCACTTTTAGAGCAGTCGTGCAGATAAAGTAGCATCACGAGGGCAGGAAGGGGATAAAGCGTATTACCGCGGGAATGAGACAAGGCGAGTTGACGCGGCAGTTGCGCGCGCGCCGTTCATTGATGCGCAGGCACCGAGGGGCCGGGGGGCCGAGGGAGAGGAATGCGGCCGCGGCGAGCAATGACCGCGTCAGGGTCGCTTCCTTTACGAGAAGCGCGGGCCGTCGTACTACAGCCGATGCCCTCTCCCCCCACGACCTCCTCCTCACACGGTCCGTACTACATGGCCTTCTTCATCGTCGACGCGCGCTTTTCGATCCGTAGTCCGTTAGAAAAATTAAGTGCGCCGCATTCCGCGACCATTCTAACCTCTCTATCACACCGCGAGCCCAGACGTATTCTGTTCCTTTCTACGGAGGTAGCGCGTGTGGTAGCGTTATTTGGTATCCGAAAGACGGTCGCAGGGCGCGAAACTCACGCTCACGCTACAACGGATGCTTTCTATCTCGTACGTCAGCGCCGGCCATATTTTGTATGAATGAGTAATAAAAAAAACTGTTAAAACCACTAAAATAATGTAGGTACAATGTTACACATTAATTGCGCTTTCTTATAACTGCGTCTAATTTAATTTAGTTTGTTATAATATAGACTACTTTCAAAGGCTTACTTTTTTAAAAGTATTTTATAAAAACCTAATATTATTTGTTATAAAAAGACTGCGGAGCATGTAGGATGACGTTTGTACGTTTTGTGTTTTTAATTGAAGTCAGATGTTATTTTTACCTCTTCCACACACACTTTTATACTTGTTATGTTTAACAGAGTGTGAATGGATATTCTTTACTAGAATTAATATTACCGTCTAATATGACGAATATATTAGATTTTATGACAAAATCGTCGTGAAATTATCATGGTGGTAAGTTCTAATTTCGAAATTGAAATATTAATTGTATTTTAATCTAATAAAAATAAAAAAGATATCATTTTAAAAATATATTGAGTTAATATTGTACGATAAAATTTTGTTTGCGGTCACACTCCTTATCAATTATGCCAAAATTATCTTATCCTTACGTTCAGCCTTAACAACCAAAAAATGGTCCTAGTGGTAAGATAACTTTAACAAGGCGGTGACCAATAATGGTTTCGTTTAACGGTGATTGGGTTGTAAGCTAAATAAACTACTATAGGAAGCAATTGATCTATGTACCTATACGTAATATTTTTTGAGAAATTATTATTTAATGGACAGAAAAGAGATTTGTTGCCGACTGATAACGGCATTCTCTTAGTATAATACCGACTTGGGGCATTTTATTATATTTGCGAATACTTTAATAAACTGCCGGCTATTGTTCATCAATAAAAAATTTGAAGTTTAGGGCAAAAATCTGATTATTATGCCCTTAATGAGTATTAGAAGTTTAGGAGAGTGACTCCTATACATTTATATCTATACAAATAAAGAAAATTTAGATGTCTGTTTGTAATTTCAAAATAATGCTTTTTACTAAATGCATATGAAAGTATATACGCTAATTATAACAAAAAAAAAACAATTTTTTTTTCTGTCTGTCTATCTGTCTGTCTGTTTGTTCCGGCTTATCTCCGAAACGGCTGGACCGAGTTTAACAGGACTCACTAGCAGATAGCTGATATCATAAGGAGTAACTTAGGCTACTTATGGATATTTTATGGAAGAAATTCCAATCATAATAATTTCCACGCGGACCAAGTTGTAAGGAAAAGCTAGTAAATAATAAATGAGCAACTAAAATACTGAGCGAGTGACGAAAACCAGGTACTGAATGTGCAAGTAGTTTAAGTTGTGTTTGCTACATCATCATGATTCTATGTAACGAGTAAGCTGTAATGATGATGGTATAAATCTATAAAGAGTCCTGTTTCATCAAAAAATATAAGCAGCAAGAACAATTTAACTAGCTTTGAAACTTCATTTTGTAAAAAATATATTTGAGCTATAATGGGAAGTTATTACAAAAGTTGGCGCAAGTATTTAAGAATAAAAAATGTGGTTGGTTCCACTGCAATGAATACGGTTAAATGCAGCAAGAACAGAAAAAAAATTAAAAATCAATAAATATATAAAAAAGTAGGTGAGTTTATTTCAATAAATAAAAAAATTATAAAAATATTAAAGGTGTAAAAGAACTTATACATATAATCGATAAATGTTTATCCATTAACAAATATTATTATATAGGCTAATTTGTA